ATTATTTTTGGCAGCTTTTATTCCTTAGCTTTGGTTGGTAACCCCTATGCGCCTAAGAAGGGATTTATAGCAGTTAGCAGTTGATAATTTTTGGAAATTTCCATAGGCCTGTATTCTCTTGGTATTATAAAAACTTTAAACAAGTTTAACAAATATATTTTGCTCAATTCATCCCTCACATACAAAGCATCTAAATTTGCCTGTACACATGTCCCTCTCATTCAATCTGCCTTAAATATTTGCTTAATGACCTGTATTTATTAGTGAGGAATAGGGGTGCATGTGTTACATACTTTGCTATAAGTGTATACATTCTTCAAATTAGTAGCTATTGCCTTATGTATGTAGGTAAGTTTTATCTCCAGCAGCTATTTATTGTAAATACTTGGCCTAATATGATAATGGGACTTTTGGCTTGGCTGTACTCAGACCATTTAGTTTCGCATTATTATCCAGCATGAAGTAAACGCTGATTTACTGATCCGACCTAGCGTATAAGGCAATGTCTGTAGGCATATGGCTAAACCCCTTTGGAACTTTGTATATCTCTCGCAACATTAATTTGGGTTATATACCATAAAATTATGGAGATTAGACACAGGTTTAAATAATTTAGGAGCTTAACAATCTTACAGGCATCTCAAATCATTTACCTGACCAAGAGAAAATTCAAAATATTGCTGTAAGCAAAAATACAATTACTTCTTAAAGTATGCTGCTAAAATTAAAGCCTATCCTTAGTTAAAGATAACTTCGGGCCCTTTGAGCTTTTTTTGCCATTGGAGTTCTCGGGCTTCTTTGAAACCTCTTCCTTAAAATGTGAACACTGCTAGATAACATTTACTTTTTTGATGTGCTATTTCGTATTAGCCTTATGCAGAGTATCCTTATATTAAAGCAAATATGTCTTAACTCTTATTGAATAAGCTATTTTTCCCTTATTTCCAATGCCTAACTGTACATATTATTCATTTCAGCTCTGATTCTTGCCCTGCAATGTCATCGGCAAATAATCGTATTCGTGCTCAAAGTAATAAAAATCGTTTATTTTGGCGCAATCCGCAGCGGCGGCGACCTGGCTTGCCAGATTCTCTCTTGTCTAAAAAGATGAATGTTCAAAATTGGCGCTCAATGGCTAAGCCTAGTTCCGATGAATCTCAGGTTAAACCTACTAATGAGGCCTATGTTGACGACGATGATAATGACTCCGATAATGAACATTTGGTTCAGTCTGTTGTCAGTGCAGTAATTCCGGCACTTCAACCTCCTACGAATCCTAAATCAAACGCAAAGGATGAAGACACTGTAAGTCTTTACTTCTTAATTTTGTCTTATTTTATATATCGTACTCATGACTCTTTCGTGTGACCATTAAATTTTAATAACTAGCCATAGGATTGTTATTAATTGCTTGAGGTGCGAAGAGTAATTCGGTTTTAATGAATCTGAAATAAAAGATAATATTGAAGATATGAAGACCAAGATGGTGTAGCCTTTTGTGTGGTCGCAGTCTTTTTTCGTTGTAAAGAAGTTGTTTGACCTTTTTTTCGCAACTTGGTCATATTGGTAGAAAGACTTAGAGGAACGCACCTAGTCCAGAGTCCATTGTATGCATCATTATTTCCAGAGTAGGACTGTGGACGTGGTACATTCCAAGACGTTTTTCTGGCATCGTCGGGGAGTCTCGCCATTCGTATCATCATATTACAACTCGTCAGAGACGAGCTAGAAATAACGAATACAATGACAGAGGACACGAGACTATGTATATTGCACAACGTTTACTTGACGCTCCGACCAAGTTAGAAAACAAGGTCGAACCGACGCTATAAAAGTTTTAGTATTCGAGTAGAGTTTCGAGAGTACCAGTAAATCAGTAATATGAGAGCTATTCACCCTATTTCGTATAAGGTGATGAAGGACTTGTAGTTGCGGTTCTCCTTCCCTAGGTCTTATCACAGTCTCTTGCCCCATATGATCCATCTGCCTTCTCCCTGGTTCACATATTTCACTCGACCCCTGCCACCCCATCTGTGCTACTCGAAGCGTTATTCGCCCTCCCCTGCGTCTGGGTTAATAATTCGAGGCTCAAGCCTCTGAGTAAGTCTCATCGTTGAGCCTTTACTACATGGACCATGTCTATGCTACAACAGACCTACTCTCAGCCAACTAGCTCCAGTCTCCGCTGCGTCTATCCTGCTTCCATCCCTAATACCAAGTCTATGACTTCGTATGCCCCAGTCTTTTGTGTGCCAACCCACAAATGTTTTTGTACTGCTTGCTTTAATTAGTTTCAATGTTGAATCACAATGTTTGTGGGTTGGCATACAAGAGACTAGGGCATAGGAAGTGATAGACATGGTATTATAGATAGAAACAGGAAATTCCAGAAGTCATCATCAGAATTTTACGACCAACGGACACTGAGCTCTGAGACGAGGAATTGGACAAACTGACACGAAATTGTCTTAGTACCGGATACCCCAAGAATTTATAGAAACAAATATCGAGGTTATAAAGTGCACATTTCAACTCGGAATTTATGAAAATCAGATCAGGAATCAGGCGGACGACCAAAAGTGGATTTGCCTGACTTCATCAGAAATGAGGCATTAATTGCGATCTTTACTAAGAAAATGGAGGATCAAGGTGATAAAAAAGGAGAATAAAACAATTTTTATCAGTCTGCCGACGCAACACGAAAAGATGGACAAAGTTAATTGCTCGGGAGTTTATCGCATCAAATGCGGCAACGGTGTGCAGAAGTATATTAGTGAAACAGGAAGAAAAATCGACCTACGAATCAAGGAACATTAAAGACTCTGCAAGAACATGGATGCGAACAGATCCGTAATAGTGAAACACATTGCACGAACAAGGCACTAAATCGACTGGAAATCGACCGAAAGGTTGGCTGCATATCGTGAAAATAAGAGAAAATGCAAGATCCGAGAGGCCATCGATATACTGACCGAGAAAAATCTAGTGAACAG